GTTATCCGGAGCAAGGCATGGAAATCGCGATAATGGTTAGAATTCGGTTTTGGTCGAAGATGAAGGGGTAGTAAATAAACTAGAATGAAAATGAGGATGAGTCGAGCTTGCGGAGGATCCTCTACCTGGCTTGTTCAGCGGCCGTAATCGGTGACAGTCTCTTTTGATCGACCCAGTCGGATGACTGTGCGTGAACACCTTCATCCCGTAACGTGCCCTAGGGTTGGAGGTCTCCTAGAAGCCTCCCGTCCAGCGAAACTCGCAATGCCGACGTCTGGTCCTGACTCGGTGGTTGGATCGCTGGAGTACCGGATAGCGCTACTGCAGCACGCAGGATAGTGATCCTTGGTAGGGAGTCCGGCGGTCTCGGTCTCTGATTCGCTAGGAACGGAGTACCGGGAACCAGGAGCTCCTCTCGAAGTTTTGATGATACTTGACTGACGTGTAGCGTAAGAACTGACACTGACTTATGACAAATTGACTAATGACTTCCCGTCTTGATCAGACTGCTGGTTTTATTACCAGGATGTTCCAATTGGTGGGGGTTTCCTAGGGCCCAGGTGAGGGTAGCGTTCCTGAGTCGTCCTGATGCATTGCGGAATCATCAGGTTGTTCGCCCCGGGTCGGTCGATAACTTTTGGAGCCGTTTGGCCGATGATCCGTTGGATCCTTTCGCAAGAGTTTCCTAATCGCGTTTCCGTATTCGAATTTCCATGGCTAGCTCCGGTGATTGGAAAATAGGGTTTTTCCCTACGTTAGGGTACGGAAGGTGCCTATGTAACACAATAAATAGATTAGACTCGTCATCGTGCGTTGATAAGTTTCCAACATCCGTGAAAACATTACAGCGAGAAGGTTAATTCGAGTCATTTTTGAGTGTATGTTAGAGCCCACCTTTTAAGAGTTTTGCTAGAGGCAAAATAATATTGAGAGAGAGAGCACTCTTGAGAATTTTTTCTGTGATTATTATTGGAATAATTTTGATGATCATTATCGTGAGAATAATGTTCATTAGAATAGTGCAAAAGCGATAGTGATGTAATGTTTCTAGAGAATCATTTAGAAAATTTGTTCGAACCCACCGGCTGAAAGGTTCTTCTAGAACGAGGATAATTTAGCTTAACCCTTTCGCTACGACAGCTGACTATAGTCACTCGCCACAAAACGCCACTTATACCTGATGGGTGACTATAGTCACCGGCCACAAAACGCCAACTTCATACGAAGTGAAGCGCGCAATGGTAACACTTTTGTCGCGGTACCCCGTTCTACGGGAGGGATTCCGCGGCGAGGCCCGCGAAAAGGTTAAATAAGTTTCGAAATTTCTAAAGGAGAAATGAGCCGCTCAGTGCACACATCGACTAACCCCACTTTTTGAAAAATCTTAAATTTTGGTGTCAAAGCACTTGGTACAGTCATAACTTTTTATATTTATAATATCTTTCCTGATTAATAGAGATTAACACCGTTAAACGGCAAAATTTGTTTAGGCATTGAATAATAAGTAATTGATTTCAGAAGCCATTCTGATTAACTCCATCCTCTAATGTAAATCGTAGACGAATACCTGGCAGTATGGTATTATTGGATTATCTGTTGCGGCCGTACATCGACGCTTTTTTTTTTAAACAGCCGAAGATGCTTTTCCCCTTTCAACAATATGAGTAATAAAATCGCATCAGCAAACAGATAGAAGGAAGCGCAATGCAGACGGTAGTTAGTATAACAGTGATCTCTCCCGCTGAATGTTACTGTATACTTCACCAATATTACACGGACTACATATTTTTTGGTCTTTTCAACATTACTCCCTGATTGTTTTTAAAGAACTAAATATTATACCGTTATAATCAAGATGAGTGAAACTAATAACAATGTGGATGTGGAAAGCAGTGATGATTCTTCAATACGATTTATCAGCAGAAAGTCTGGGGCAAGAAGACGTTTATCGTGTTTCTCGAATTCATCTGATTGCAACGGTACAAATTCCCCAACAAACACATCGATTTGGAGGAAAAGAAGTCGTAATCCTGATAAATGGGCACGAAATTTACAAAAGCATAACGGAACAAAAGGTTTGGCATACAGGAATAGGGGAGAAAATTTAATACCTGCAAAAACATCTGTCGATATAAAATGCAGACGATTATTTTTTGGCTATTCTTTCTTATTAATTTTATATACCGTTAGATGAAAACTATAACTGTATTTATGTATTCTACATTATATATTTGAAGTTATATTATAATAGGAATTTTAAAAAAGAATCTACGTTACTTCATCGCATTTCTCAACTTTTTGTTTTATGGAGTTAATCAATGTGTGCTCAAATGTCTATGTAATTTTCTGTTGACGTCATTTCTAGAATAACTTCAAGAAAGGAATATTGATGCATTTTTGGAACAAGTAATTTAGTCGAAATTTTGGAGATTACTTGAACCATCGGATTTTGAGTTCATTTTTGACAGATTAATATTATTTCTACGTTTTTCCCTAGAATGTTTTCCTCGATCTTATGGTTCTTTTGGAGAATAATAACTTCTAGAATATTCTGGACGAGTAATTTTGAACGTGTTCCCTGGCGCGAAACTTAGATCTTTTCTTGAACACAACCAAATTTTCTCAGTGAAGCACCCTAAGGTTATCTTGGCCAGATGCCCCAAAGGGAGAACCGTTAACTTATTGTAATGTTCTCTAATTATTCTAGCACCATTTTTGTTCGATACTTCTGGCGCATGATTTTCTGTTAACGCGTTTACTCATCGTAATTCCAATAATTTCAACTTTCATTCCAACTATATTTTTGCGATCTTCGAGTGTCTAATGATTCATTTCAATCTTCATTTTTGTCACTTCCTCTTTCCTAAACTCGGCGTTTTCCCTAATTATCTAATGTAAACTTTCCTCATTGTAATTTTCTCTGAAACACTCTCGCTTCTCAAACGAATCTGTCCTATGTTGAATTATGGTATATAGGACAGGCTCCTTTCGAATTCTCTTCAACTCATTTTTCTTATTAAAATCTTGCCTCTTTTCATTTGGCGTTTGAGTAATTATTTTCGGTTAGGTGCGTCCCTAATTCTAGTCCCTAATTTTCTGAAAAAAATTAATAGTGCTGAATTTGATGAATTGAGTTAATTTTTTAGATTCTGCATAACACAGTATTACCTCGCCCTTTCCGAACATTGGTGCGTACACTCTAAGCTAGCTGGCCGCGCCGTGCCGATCGCTTCGACGACGGACCGCTCAAGAGAAGTTCTTTTGAGTTTAAGAGCCGAGTTTTTAGTGATTTTGGGTTTGTTTTGAGTATTGGCCTCCGAGGAGGCCTGGCGCCCAAACTGTTGCGTTTCCTGGTGGGACTTGTGTTTCCTGGTTGAAGTTGTGACGTCTTGGTGGAGGTCTGGTTATCCTGGTGGATGTTGGGTTCTTGGCTATTTTGATAATCTGTCGGACGGTCGAGCAAAGGTGATGCGCAAACGTCGAGGCGCAGCGGGCCTCGACCGCGATTAATTCTTTATCCCTTCGTCGCGTCACAACATATATTGGGTTGTTCGGAAAGTAATTTCGTTTTTCCCAACACAGGACCTAATTTTTTTTTTCACGGCCAACTTCACACTTAAGCCGCATAATCATTATATGTTTTGACAGCTGATCTAGCAAGGCTTGTTTGTGAAAAAGTTTGATTGATTCTACGCAGTAGTTTTTGGTTGGTACCCTTTCAAATATGGAAAGTGAAAAGCGGCATTTTCGGCATGTTTTACTTTTTTACTATCGAAAAGGTAAAAATGCCGTTCAAGCAAGAAAAAAATTATCCGACGTGTATGGAGAAGATGTATTGACGAAACGCCAGGGTCAAAACTGGTTTGCAAAATTTCAATCCGGCAATTTTTATATCGAAGATGCCCCACGTTCTGGAAGGCCACTTAAAGCTGATGAAAACACGATAAAGGCATTATTTGATGCAAACCGGCGAATAACAACTCGTGAAATCGCTGAGAGATTAAATTTATCGAATCCGACCGTTCATGATCATTTGAAACGCCTAGGTTTAATCTCAAAGCTCGACATATGGATTCCTCGTGTTCTTGCGAAAAGAAATTTGTGTCATCGCATTGACGTCTGTGATTTGCTTCTCAAACGTCAAGACGCATCATCCCTGAAGACGAGAAATGGGTTGTCTACGACAATGTTACCCGCAAGAGGTTATGGAGTAAAGAAGATGAACCGGCTCAAAGAACTTCGAAAGCCGAAATTCATCAAAAAAAGGTGATGGTATCTGTTTGGTAGGATTTCAAAGGAATCGTTTTTTTTGAGATTCTACCGAACAACACAACGACCAATTCTGAAGTGTACTGTCACCAGCTGGACAAATTGAATGATTTACTTAAACGGAAGAGACCAGCATTGATAAATAGAAAAGGTGTAGGGTTTCGCCAAGATAATGCGAGACCTCATACAAGTTTCTTAACTCGCCAAAAGCTTCTACAGCTTGGATGGGATATACTGCCACACCCACCATATTCTCCAGATCTGGCACCTTCTGATTATTACTTGTTCTGGCCTCTACAAAATTTTTTAGACGGTAAAACCTTTCCTTCAAATGAGGAGGTCAAAAATCACCTGAATCAGTTTTTTGACAGCAAAAACCAAACATTTTATGAGCGTGGAATCATGCTACTGCCAGAAAGATGGCAAAAGGTATTGGACCAGAATGGACAATATATAATTCAATCAAATATTTATTCGCTATAAAAAAATCGTCGTTCATTTTCATAAAAAAAAAACCGAAATTACTTTCCGAACAACCCAATATAAAATCTGGACGTCGTGTCCGTTTTGCGTGAGGGCCGGCGGTGTACTGCTCTACTTCCGCACACGCAACACTAATTCCACACACCACCCACCTTGGGACCTATCTTCTACACTCCCATGATATGAAAGTTTGACCTTTCGGCCAGACGTACAACAAATACCCAATATAAAATACCTCTGGAGCTTACCTAAGTCATCACTTTCAAAAAGTAGATTCTCATGAACACCAAGTCGTCGACAAAACTGTATAAAATTCTCCATGTTATCACGTGAAAAGAAACTTCGGCGTGCTGCTTTTTCCCAGCATCTTCCACGTATCACCGGTATTGGCTGAAAGTAAGAAAACGTACAAACTGTCAATGATACATTTGAGAACGAATGTTTGTTGCAATACATTGTTGGGCTTATTTTAATACTTGCTAAAACAGACTTGCATGTATGTTCAAATTTTATCCGCTTGCTTTAGTACATTATTCAAGCATCGTTTCACAACTAATGTAAGTATAAAACGCATGTACCTAAAATCTAAAAATGCCTAATATTGATCTATAAAGTATACTTTACCCCTACTACAAAGCTAAACATCCCTCTAATATCTGTATTTTATAGGCATAACGTTAGGTTAGCCCCTCGGGAGGCCGCGGGATTTCTCGAGCGGACAAAAGAGCGACGTTTCTTTTCTTAGCGTCGTGTCCCATAATTTTCTGTGCCTGGTAATTTTCTGTCGCACCGTTTTTAGTAGGAGCGCGTAATTCGATGTTTTGTATTGTCTGGCCGAAACCGTTTTTGAGTGTGATAAATTAATCTTTTCTCGCGTAGGTTGTGAAAGGTTTGGGCCTTCGGCGAGAAAAGTTGAGTTTTGAGATATGTTAGATTAAGGTGAAGTGAAACATCCTTCAAATCAGTCGATTCGAATACAACACTTTTTTTTAAGGGTATTAGACCAAACTGTCCGAAACTTTGACACATCACTCCTGATCGAAGGAGTGATCTGAATGTCGCGGTACTCTGTAGGGAAATAACGTAAAGCACACCTTCAGCTCGTTTGATCAAGGGCTTTTGTTTGTTCGGTCGCCTGACTCATTGCCGTTGTATCCTTACAAAACGTTAGGTATCACAATCAAATCGCATATGTGTGGTGTCATGTATAATCATAAAAAATGTGTGCATTCAGGCAGCCTCATCTAATAAACGGATCGGGTTAATAGAACCACAATCATAACGTTAGCAGGCGGTCTTAAGCAAGTTTATCAATATTTCTCGTGGAAATTGAAAAAATAAGTAGTAACATACTCCTTTTACTTTCCCAGCATCGACGGCAGATCTTGCTTTTTCTTGAATGACTCTTGCCAATCGGCAAACCACCACTCCATTGTCCAGCGACTCAAAAAAATTGTCACTTGTTATGTAATCAATATCTGAAAAGCAAATGCAAATATTACAAGTCTTTGAATTTCGGTCATTTCTGTATGCTAAATCGTGATTTACAACTCGAGAAGTTTAACGAAGGTGAGCCATCGATTGGTAACAGATTAGCGAGAAAGTAATATTCAATTAAGAATTATTATTTACTGAATTGAGCTATTAATTACTGAATAATCAGATGAGAGAATGAGATCAGATCAGAGAATGAGAAGAATTATTAATTACTGACAAGGAAACATTCCCAAGTGTCCGCCTTCGATATTATTGAGTTTCATATATGTTGAAGAACACAAAAATCTAAGAGACACGTGTTTCTTTATATCTGCAATGGTCCACATTTAAGGGGTGAAACAACCCCCCAAAGTTTAGCGAGAAACCGGTTTTTTAAATATTTTTCGTAGGAGCAGTGGAGGGATTTCGACGAAACTTGGTATAAACGTATTCTGTATAAGGACGGTGACAACACAATATTGTTCAGCAATGTTGCACCCCCTCAAGGGGATGAACTACCCTTCAGGTGACATTTTTTTGTAATATCCATTAAACAAGCACTCCTACTTAAGTTCCACTTACGCGATGTGATTGCTCGCAAAAAATTAAGAAATACGTGTTTTTTGCTTTTTGCCAATAAACATTTACACATCGGTTGTAACAATGAATGTAGGTGGTATTAGGGTATATCCCGACTACCTTTATTGGGTTATATCGTGACCAATTCATCGTACATAAGTCGTGTCAACGTGGTAATTCTTCAAAATGTCATTGATTTTCATAACATGCAATTATGTATAAATAAATTAAAAAATAGTTTCAGAGGCTAAAATTGTTTCGCAACGGATTCGACGATGCAGTCATCACTCGTTTCCAACTAGTAATATAATCTCCGTGGTGAAACGATAAAATTGGATTTATACTGTTTTTACGAAAAAATAGAGTCAGCGATATTTTGATACCTTAGGTACGAGAATAGTACATTCAAGAAGAGTGTGCGTATAAATATTAATTCTGAAATTAATCAACAGGAAGTTATAAGAGAATATTTTTACATCTTTCTATAAAGCAGGAGATTATTTAATATTACTGATCATATTTATTACAGTAGTGGTATTCTTGGAAAAGGTGCTTTATACAAAATGCTTTTTTGCACCAAGAACACCGTATCATTGCTGCTGCACCACAAACATTACATTTCATACCTGAATAGCTTTCAAAGGCAAAATTAACCGGGTTCGGGAAGTTTTCTAATCTTTCATCGATATTACCACTTTTATACCATGCATATTGAAACAGGCTTGTATATTTAGGAGAAGACAACTGATTATGCACGAGTGATTGCAATTTTATGATATTATTCCGTAAATGAAGGTTAACGTCATAATTATGTAAAAGGACAATATCAGAAAAACGCCTCACAAAATTTTTCCATACTCGAAAACCATAGGCATCTAAAGGTTGGATTCGACCAGTAGTTCCCTTTGGTATCGTCATTGCCACAATGTTTTTGTCGGCAGGTTTCGTTTTTTCAATTGTATCGCTGCAGTGTCCGCTCCAGGAGTCAAGCAGAAGAACGCTTTGTTGACCAATGTTAGGGTAGGGGACATCCTTCAACCACGTTTTAAAATGCTCTAAAATGTTTTAATCGCATTAATCATTACTAGTATATAAGTTAACAAATTGAAGGAATAAGTTCAAGGCGTCTTTACCTGAAGTTAGCTTGCCAGACTTCGAAGCCAAAGAAAAAATATTTTGGGGACGAAACAATGTTTTTCCAACGACCGGTCCGAATTGGCCATTTGCTTCTTTCAACACTACCAACAGCGGTGATAGTAAACGTCCATCACACGAAATTATTGGGTGGATTGTGTAGCTATGTGTTGTCGACGAAATTGATTGGGCAACACATTCCACTTTGTTTTTTCCTTCATATGATAATGTCCGTCCCGAATGAATTTCTAGCTGAAATCCACTTTGGTCGGAATTATACACATTTTCGGCCCCGTACTGCGCTATCAGTGGTCTTACAGTGTCTACAAATTCACTACTTACTTTTTGTCAATTAGCGCCGTCTTCTAATGTCTTCCTTGTAATAAATTTCGTTATTTTTCGGGACACAATACGATGAGCTTTTTTAAAATTATATAACCACTTTGACGACGCTTTAAAACTCATGTCGTTGTTTGTCTGTTCTCTCCATGCTTCTAGAGCCCATTTTTGGATATCTGCGTCATGTACTATAAAACCAGCGTCAATAGCGTTTCGTAATTTGTTCAGCGTGGATGTAGAGACATACAGTAATTTTTCTTTTCGACATCCTCTATTATCCACTTGGTTGGCCGACCTTCTTAATTCACGAGCATCAGAAAGTTTCCTAAATCGTTGTTGGACAGTGGCAAATTTGAGATTGCCGGACTTTCCACTTCTCCAGAATTCTACTGCTCTCTTTTTATAGTCGAAGTTAACCGCTGTGTCTTGGCAAACCGATGAAGACGGTTGTGGCACCGTTTCGTCAGACCACTCTTTTTCATCTTCAACATACTCAACCTCCCATGCTTGAAAAGGTTCTTGAAAATCCAATGTTGAATCTTCAGTATTCTCAAACGAATTAAATTGTAATATACTATCCAAAAGAATCGTTTGAATAGATTCTTTTAACAGTATTTCTTGTCGATTAACTTCCGTTTCCATTAAATACATAGTTTGAAACGTAGCTAACAAAAGGTTGATCACGTTGATAGGATTTATAATCATTACGTACAAATATATCGTAGCACGTCGACAAAATAATTTCACAAGGACGAAGTCCTGATCAGAACTGATCATCATCGAATCCAGTGCAGACTTTATAAGAACGCACGTCGGCGTAGACGATTCCAAATTTGATTTAATTCAACATACTATTCCCGTACCTTAGGTATCGAATATCCCTGACTCTATTTTTTCGTAAAAACAGTGTAAATCCAATTTTATCGTTTCACCACGGAGATTGTGTCACTAGTTGGAAACGAGTGATGACTGCATCGTCGAATCCGTTGCGAAACAATTTTAGCCTCTGAAACTATTTTTTAATTTATTTATACATAATTGCATGTTATGAAAATCAATGACATTTTGAAGAATTACCACGTTGACACGACTTATGTACGATGAATTGGTCACGATATAACCCAATAAAGGTAGTCGGGATATACCCTAATACCACCTACATTCATTGTTACAACCGATGTGTAAATATTTATTGGCAAAAAGCAAAAAACACGTATTTCTTAATTTTTTGCGAGCAATCACATCGCGGAAGTGGAACTTAAGTAGGAGTGCTTGTTTAATGGATATTACAAAAAAATGTCACCGGAAGGGTAGTTCACCCCCTTGAGGGGGTGCAACATTGCTGAACAATATTGTGTTGTCACCGTCCTTATACAGAATACGTTTATATCAAGTTTCGTCGAAATCCCTCCACTGCTCCTACGAAAAATATTTAAAAAACCGACTTTTCGCTAAACTTTGGGGGGTTGTTTCAGCCCTTAAATGTGGACCATTGCAGATATAAAGAAACACGTGTCTCTTAGATTTTTGTGTTCTTCAACATATATGAAACTCAATAAGATCGGAGGCGGACACTTGGGAATGTTTCCTGGTGAGTAATCACAAGTAAAAATTTGCTAATTACTGAATTAATTATTAATCAAAATAAAAAGGACTTTAATTATTCGGTTAATCAGTAATGAAATTGACAAATCGTTTTATTATCCGGTCAATTAGTAATCAAAATAAAAAATTGTTTGATGACTTGATTAATCAATAATTACGATATTAATTTTTTTGAATATTTAATTCGGTTTTCTCGTAGAATGAAATGAAACCTCTAGTCACGATTTCAATATAAGTTGTTTAAAACACTGATCGCTTCTGTCCGTAACGGTTTTTCATTTTCATCCATCACGATTTGAGAATCGTGACGGGTATCTTGAATCTTGAATACGTATCTTGAGAGATAAATCACAATTCTGTAGTTGTTTTCTTGTTATTGAGTTGCCATTCGCGGCTGAATTTCGGGCTTATAATTACTGTTCCTTACACTATGTTCAAATGTAAAAAGCCACAGGACAGAAATTAAACTTCTTTGGACCTACCCTGGCAACTCATGCAGTGGAATATCAGTAAATTAACCGTCTAAATTAAGTCTATAGCTATAGCAAATGTATATCGTCTATCATCCACCTAAAAATATATCTTTAGTAAGTATGTGGATCCATTTTAGGTATATGACTATAGAATATATATTATAAATATCTAAACTATATATATTGTGACGTGGCAAATTGGTAAGCTACCTGGGTGAACCCTGATTTATGTCAAAAATCCAAAAAACCTCGAAGTACATCAAATCACCCTTCGACTCCACCAGGAAATTCTTCAATTTGGGCGCCAGGCCTCCCCGGGGGCAGTACTCAAAAGAAACTCGAGACTAGCAACCCCCAACTCTCCCCTTAATCGAATCTCTTCAAAAAACACCTTCGGTGTAAAAAAAGCTTTGCCAAATACATTTTTATTTCCGACTTCAATTACAAAAATAGCTCAACAATGGAAATCAATTCTCTTTGCCAAATACAATAGTACTTTCATACTATTAAAACTCTAATCAGTTATTTTTCCCAAATGTCATAGTATATTTTGCCCCCACATAATACAAGTACATTACTTACGTGGCGGCCGAGTGGCTAGCGAGGCCGGGGGAATTTTGCAGATTCCTCGGAGCGGTATACTGTTTGTAAAGATATTAACTTGTACGCACGCGTAACCAGTTTATCATTTGAGAGATGTGGAGAGGATAACCCGAGCGGCTAGGTCAACCTCTTTGGTGGGATCGATAGGTTTTTTGGTCCTCAAAGTGTATTGGAAAGTTGCAATGAGGACACAGGAGGGTTTTAAGGTTTCGTGAGAATCAAGTCGTTGTTTTGTATTGAATGAGACAGTTCTATTTATGATGTAAGGG